TTTCAATGAAGTTTCAGTTTATACTACGATAATAATGTCGATTTATTTATGTGTCTAAGACAAATATCAAAACTCTATGATTTATAATTTTTTGATTAATTCTTACGCAGAATTAGAGATTCAGGCAGTTGGTGATAGGAGCATGAAATATTGTTTGAAAAAAAGACTTTGAGAAATAGAAATCATTTCCCATTTATAATAAAATTATTAAGAAGATATATATATATATATATATATATATATATATATATATATATATATATATATATATATATATATATATATATATACTATACTAACTGGCAAAATAACCGGAGATAAGAAAGGAGACACAACTTGGTGTTTGCTAAGTCAGGAAACATGTGAAAAGTGTTTGAAATCAAATTTTTTTTCCTTCGAAATGTAGTGCTTTATCGTGTTTACGTGAATAATAGTTGGTGTTTGCTAAGTCACGAAAACAAGTGAAAAGTGTTTGAAATCTAGCATATATATATATATATATATATATATATATATATATATATATATATATATATATATATATATATATATATATATCGATACTGGCAAAATCACCAGAGATAAGAAAGAAGACAAAGCGATTTATGCAGGATATTGCAAATGTTATTTTTTATAAGGATTTGCGTAAATTCCATTTTAAATACTCAGATTTCGAACAATGATTTTTTTTACTTAATTAAATTACATTTTTCAACTCATCGTAATGAATCAATTTGTTTTGTTCACAGTTAATGGCTACATCTTTCTTTCCTTCCTTTATAAGTAGAGTTATTAGTACTGAGAGATATGCAAGTATACTTACATAATTGCTCAAGCAGAAATATATGCATATATATATGTATCTAGCTATGTGTGAAGGAATGCGTAGTAATATATATATATATATATATATATATATATATATATATTTCATGTGATATTATGCACATAGATTTTTGTCGTTTGAATGTGTGCCAAGATTTATGTATGACAATATATTTGAAAACATTTAAATGAATATAATATAAAGCAGTCATATCTATCAAACACTGTCTGTCATATTCACAGTCACTATCTCCCTCACAATCACACTCTCTCTCTCTCTGCGCCTATATATATATATATATATATATATATATATATATATATATATATATATATATATATATATGAATATATATATATACATATATATATATATATATATACATATGCATATATACATACATATATATATATACATATATACATATGTATATATATACATATGCATATACATACATATGCATATACAAAATGCATATACATGTATACATATGCATATACACAAATGCATATACATGTATACATATGCATATACACAAATGCATATACATGTATACATATATATATATATATATATATATATATATATATATATATATATATATACACTATCGTCAAACTGATATAACTAGTAGTCGCGATACTTTGTCAGATGATCGCAGTTGATATTTTGACAGTCTCTTAAAAGCATTTAATATATATTTAAAACTACATCTGGCTTAAAGCCATATCACGTTGATACACTAAACCACTGAAGTTTAACAAAGACGAACTTGTCTTTACTTATTTGTGTTACCACTTGGTAATAGCATGCGTGGTAAGCATAGGTTTGCGTATATTGCAACTGCTTGTACGGAACTGGAGATCATGAATATCTCAAAACGGTCTTACAATCTAACACTAATTTCTGGCTTTAATTACTTTGCAAAAGGTTGATAAGCCGTAAAAAAAAATCACTCAATCATTTAACGCTCTTCCTTGTTATGATCGGTTACATCGGATACACGGGAAATGTGAACCCATGGTATAATTACCGAATCTCTAAATATTTTCTTCTGCACATAGGTTTGTCTCATACTTCATTTTATTATATATATGAATATTACTTGAGAATTAACATTTGTGGCAATTCCCCCGCATTTTGAACATTGATTTACGTACAAGTCGGTCTTTACACCTGAAAATAACCTGAAAGTTTGTGACAGTTCTCATGTTTGGCACTGAGAGCTTCACCCTCTAGACATCTGACACGAAAGCCATGATCGTCAGCCATGACTACATTATGTTACAGAAAGTTTCATTGGCGCAACTGTATCAATTGGACTTACAGGACGTGAACCAATACAAACATTGTACACATGCACTTGATGATATCTTACAAACACACCAAATGACAGACTTTATATTTATTAACGCAAATATGGTATCTTTATTCTACCCAATATCTACCCACTACAAGTGAAACAAAATTCTCAAAATCATTCACACACACACAATTTACAATAATTCTTCGTTTGACCCTATGTTAAATATTCATGATATGAATATTTTGATACTGAATATTTGTTTTCCTTGTGTTGGTCATTTTTCAACTATTATATATTCCGTTTATAATTAGTAGATATCAGACGCGTTTGGTAGCAACGGTACATTTTCTGTGAGGGCACCTTCCAGCATAACCGTCCTGTTCAGCAAACAAAATTTCTTTTCTGAATTTATCTTGGAGATAGTGACACGAAGTTCTGCTCGTTTAATTAATCCAACATAAATTTTAGTCGTATTACGTATTCAGATGCAAGATATATAGAATAACCTATAGCAGAATGTAATTCACCACCGCTACAATCGTATGTAAGTTGGAAAATATGCTTTTGATGAGCCACAAGGAGGATATTCAGTATATTCATGAAGGAGCTGAATAAAGCGAATACATTTCTCATGTTGGATCATGCACTCATGTTGATCTCTTTACATGTAGGCGAGGGCTTAGCCGTTAAATTTTTATATCTAGACCGATAGAGTACACACAGAGGAATTGATCATTGTGGCAAAGCGTTGTGTAGAATCAGAGATACTTTTCTGAAGAAGTAAGAACTGAGAAACGGTACACAACCTAATACGAAGTCCTCAAGCTCCCTTCTTTAATATCAAATACTGTGCTTTCCTTCCACTAGATTGTCTGCTTCCAGGGTATCAGTGCCAAATTTCCCGTGCTATTCAATCCATAACTAAAGGACGATTGATTCATGCCTTTTTCAAATGCATTACTTCACAGAGAACGAAATCAAATTGACGGGAATTTGAAATCAGCATGTCCATTCTACATTCAACACCAAATGACAACACTATACGCACATTAACAAGGCGACACACACTCATAAAAGTACACACTAACACAAACACATACATTACCACACACGTACTCATATATATATATATATATATATATATATATATATTTATATATATATATATATATATATACATACATATATATATATACATACATATATATATACATACACATATATATACATACATATATATATACATACATATATATATACATATATATATATATATATATATACATACATATATATATATATATATATATATACATATATATATATATATATACATACATATATATACATACATATATATACATACATATATATATACATATATATATATATATATATACATATATATATATATACATATATATATATATATATATATATATATATATATATATATATATATATATATATATATATATATATATATATATATATACATACATATATACATACATATATATGTATATATATATACATACATATATATATATACATATATATATACATATATATATACATACATATATATATACATATATATATATATACATATATATATATATATACATACATATATATATATATACATATATATATACATATATATATACATATATATATATATATATGCATACATATATATATATACATATGTATATATACATACATATATATATACATACATATATATATATACATACATATATATATATATACATATGTATATATATATATATACATACATATATATATATGCATATATATACATATATATATATATATATATATATATATGTATATACGTATATATATATACATCTACGCAGCTAAATATCTGGATACATATTTACACTATTTGTATTCGAACTATTGTCCTCATCTTTGTTGTTTTTTAGCACAGCGTTTCCGCTATTTTGCTCTCTGGCCTTCCTCATGTGTAATATCTACCTTGACCAAAATTCAAAACTGAACCAATTATTTAATCTACTAGGCTTTTCTCCTTCCACTGCTCATATCTAGGAATATCGTCTAGTTCTCATTTGATTTAGTACTGTTCAGTTATTGCTCACACGTTTCCACTGAATGAAAGTACATGCTGCCCTAACCATGAATTGAACTCACAGACCCTATTTTACGAAATTCACAAACCAACGCTTTTACCTACAAAGTCGCGTAGTGAACTTAGAGCTTGAAACCTAAACTTCATTGCTGATTAATCTACTACTGTCACTGCATGCAGTCATGATCTGACGATCTGACTGTTGTTGCTCTCCTTGTTCGTGGTTACTGCTGATGGGGTTGAAGACTTCCTGTGATTTGTATTTTTTATTTCCGGCTCTCATATTTTTATGTATAAAATAAAGGCCTGATAATGGCCGGAGGACATAAGGCCAAAACGTTGTTACAAAACAAACAAAGATGAGGAAAATCGTCTTAATATACAAAGTGTAAGTAATGATAACTCCTCATCCCAGAAATTCAGACAAAAATCTTGATGTATGCAGATAGATACGAACAGACTGAGATAGATAGATAGATATAATTAGACTGGGATATATATATATATATATATATATATATATATATATATATATATATATATATATATATATAATTAGACTGGGAGAGATAGATAGCTAAATAGATATAAAGATAAACAGGTTTAATTTCCTTTATATATACGTACAATTTATTTCAATAAATCTGGGCACACATTTGTACGTTTACTGAACTAAATTTAGTTCTCTTTTTTTTAAAGTATATTTCTCTGTTTTTTTTTTTCAAATTTGTGCTACGCATTGCTTTCTATTATGAAATAACATATGATAATGAACCTACCTTGTCAATCCTGGAGTTTCTCCAAGCCTTCCACAGAAATTCAAATATCGCCATGATTGTACCAGCGACCACACCTGCCATTAGTACCACAAATACACCTCCTACATTTTGTAAGCCAAGCTCGTTCGCGTTTTGTTTCCCTTTGCCTTCGGTGTCACAATTGCTTTCCGCTTTTTCCTTCCACCATTTGGTGTACAATTTACTGATTTTTTGTCTTTCTTGCAGTCTCAGAATCTGCTCCGAAATCATGTCTCTATAGGGAGAGCCTGTATAAAATAGATGAGTTTGAAATATGTTTTCAGTACTTCCAAAGTCAAAGAACAGATAAAAGATATTGTATCAATAAATAAAATAAAAAACCAAAAACTTTAAAATGTTTTAAAGATATAAAAATTATTCTGTCAGAACAAGAAGTTTTAATAATTAAATGGCTTATTGTATCCACTTTTACGAATTATTAGAGATTCATGAGAGTACATAATCTTTTAAAATCAAAATATTATTAAATTGAGAGTGAATGCCTCAGCGAGTGCAGGATATGGGTATCAGGAGTTATTACGTTGTCAACGCTATAAAAACAAAACTGTTACCTTATAATCGTATTAACATTCTGCTTGCTACTTAGTTTAGTAATTAGTATGTACGTTACGCCCGATCTGTACCACATAAATAATGAATTATCACGTTTTCATGGAGAGTTATGACTGAAAAGACATAGCAGGGACACTGCATAGTTTCATCTTGAAATATTATTATTATGACGTTCTATATTTAGAGCGAGAGCAGATAGGAGTGATAGAGGAAAGGATAGGGAGAAGGATCGTGGATAGATCAAGGCAATTGGAGATGTCTATTGAAATTAGATTTGAATAGTTGGAGATTATAGCTATCAGGGAAACAAGAATATGAAAGGGAACTCCACTGACGAGAGGCCCAAGATATAAAGCTATTGGAGTAGAAGAGACGGCTACATTTAACAGTTTCAACAGTGAAAGAGTGAGAGCGGGATGCCAGCCTCGTAAGGTGCTTGAATTCATGAAGTCTGGGAACCAGTGAAAGCAGCTCATCGGAGCAGTTACCATGAAAGTATTTGTAAAAAAGACAGAGAGAAGCGACGGCACGTCTGTTAGAGAGCGACTGCAGACGAGATGCCAGATCAGGGCCAATTGCATTGCATATCCGTCTCTGGATCATATCAAGAACCCCGAGGCAAACAGAAGGGGCTCCAAACCATATATGGCAGCAATACTCCATGCAAGGGTGAATGGTTGATTTGTAGATTTAAAGGATCGATTCCGGGGAGAAAAATTTCCTGGCGCGACACAGGGAGCCAACTTTCCTTACGGTAGACGAAGCAATTGACTCAATGTATTTGTTCCATCTCAGGTCAGCAGTCAATGTGAGACCGAGCAGCCGCAGAGAGGTGCTCTCGAGAAGTTGAGCGTTAGACATTCTAATTGGGGAGCAGGGAAGGATCTCTGCGTTGATTAATATTATATATGCTTTATTTTTTTCATAACTGGGAGTATAACTGGGTTTCTGTCATGAAGCCAAAGGCAGTTGCAGATAAGCTCTGAATTGTGCTACAAATTTCTGTGGGACGAAATATATATTTGATATTAGTATGAATTTTAGCTGTTCTTAATCGTCGATCACTTTTTTGCTACCGTTAGCATACACTGTGTGATACTATATATTGACATACGTGTGTGTGTGTGTGTGTGAGTAAGAGAGAGAGAGAGAGAGAGAGAATAAACTTGGATGAGAATCCGACAGAATGAAGAATATATGAAAATTTTTACTTTCAAATACTTCGCCGATGAAGCGCCTTTATTAACATATTATAATTCGGATGTTTCATTTGTTCGTTAATTATTCACCGCGTACGTAAAGCCTTTCTAATGGCTCATAAATATTCCGTTTTAATCCCGAGAAAAAACTGCAAAAACATATTAGAGAGGGCATCTGGTTTCAGTGAGAAATAAAGAAATAAATAAAGAAAGAAAGAAAAGAGGGAAGTTAGCGAAAGCTAAAACACCCTCCTGTGTTTACGTTCTGTTTCGAAAATGGGAAAAGTCAGTTTCATTTGTACCCGCATTATTTTTTACCTCTTTGTCCAATTTTGGATTCATATTGAAATATTTCCTTGAATTTGTTTAGCTTAAATATTTATCGATGAACAGGGATATTATTACGGATACATTTTAGCGATGGATTACAAATGGAGCCTTTTCAATCATTAACTTCATAATTAAACTTTGTTTGAAAATTCAAATTTCCACATGTATTTATATTAATAATAATAATAATAATAATGGCAGAAATACTGATCGTAAATGAAAGAAACATCTATCAAAATATAAAATAACAAATGAACCATTTTTTTAAAATTACACTGAACCATTTATTTAATCTACTATAATAGTCTGTTTTATTTGCATTGCTTAAGTCTAGAGATATCTACTTCCTATTTTAAGTACGTATGTATAAGTACATTGAAGAGAGAATAAGCTGCACTGTGTTTCGTTTCGAACAACACTGCAAATTCTTATAAGACTCAAACATTAGTGTAAAAATTGGATACAAATAGCCTCGGTGTATCAAGACTTTCATGTGACATAATGTATGGTGCCGAACTCGTTCTTAAATATCTAATCTGTCAGGTGTTTACAACAGATTTCTCAGGTTAATTATGACATTGAGATAGAAGCTTGTGGCAACATTGCCGAATATTACGATTACTATTACCCATTTTTAGTTTTTTTTTCCTTCCTTGTTAATAAATTTTATCTGTGTCCCTGTCTTGACATGCTTTGTAAAGACGTATTAGTAACTTAAATTTTTGCTGGTTAAGCGTGTCAGTAATTCAAAGTTGGCTGTCTTCAAAACTCCACTAATAAGTTTCGACTTGTTTCAAATCAGGTAATGTTTCTCGATTGATCTATTATATAAAAAATTTGTAAAGGATTCTGCGCTCTACATACTCGTAAGAGAAAAAAATTAAAATAAACTAGAAAAACTGAATTAAAAACTGCCATTCAGAATCAAAGAAATCTTTGTTAGTAATAAAACTATATACGGACGCACTTTTAAACATTTTAATGGTCAGAGGTTGACGACTGATCTCTCTTCCGATCTTTCACAAACTACCTAAAGGTGTAAAAACTGGCTGTTTACATTCAATGCTTCGAAGACCACGCTAGTTACATTCAATCATCGCCGATCAGACCAAAGAGCTACTACCATACAGGTCCTCACGGAGAAATAGCGTGCCTTGAAAAACTGTCGGGCCTGAAACTCACACACGACCTCTAGTGAAACTCTTACATGCAATCCATTGCTAAGGATGCAGGCATATGTTCGGCTCTCTGTACTGCTCAAGTAATACCTGACTCCTCCTTCTAACGTCTATGTTTACAAGAGACAGACTACGTAAAATATAAAGTACTGTTCTTATATTTTAGGCGGTAGATGCTCGAACCTCACATTCCAGCATTGATAGTGTGCAAAAGCGTCACCGAATCTTTGTCGGTGAGGAATTATTCTCCACGTTTCAACATCTCTCCCACAGGCGGGATGTGACATTTCACCCCAAGCAAGTCGTTAATGACACTAGTACGCAGGAGATTGCAGGTAGTGAAATAGAAGACTGAGAATAGGTAGGATTTAGTAAAATACCAAAGTTGTACGGAGTGCAAGAAGATAGAATATGACGATAGAAAATGCATTTGAATTTTTTTATGATTGCAGTTATCGGGAAGCAAGGAGAACGGAAGATAGTTTAACAGGTACGAAATGTTAGGAAAGAAACTGCTAGGGCAGAAGTGGTTGTTGAATGTATCTTTTAAATCAGTAAAAGTGTGTTAACTCGATGCCAATCTGGGTTGCACGATTAAATTCATGAATTTATGGCATCACAGGAAAATGCTCGTCAGCACAATTGCCTTGAAAACATTTGTAGAAAAGACAAGGGGAAAGCCACGTCACGTAGGTGGAGAAGTGACTGAAGACGTGATGCCAGTTCAGAATCTATTGTGTATATACATACATACATATATATATACACATTATATATATATATATATATATATATATATATATATATATATATATATATGCTCTTTTATAATCAATACATTGAGTTCTTTGTGGATCAGTTTTAATATCTGATATTACTATGAACCATCTGGACTTCAATTAAACAAAATATCATCTATGTTTTTCTAAGTGTTTTTTACTATATAATAACTTTTGCTTTGTCTTTTGACATAGATCTCTCAACGGATCTATATCCTCTTGAAAATTCCATACGGATGACCAATAATTTTTCTTTTATCATTGTATATATATATATATATATATATATATATATTGTGACGTAGCACCGATTTCATTAACCATAGGCGTACGGCTAAAAAGCACTCCAAAGTAAAATCTTAAATTTTAGTCGAAAATTAGTTAGATATAAAAGAAAAATAAATAAATAAAAAGTAGCAATTTAATCCAATGCTTTCGACTTGCGAACGAATATGTTCTATGATCAGCCATACCCTCCTCTTCTCTTCACAAATTCTTTCCTCTTTATCTACCCTTCCGCCCACAAGCCAAGGGCTCGTGAACTTTGAAGTGACCCGACGCGAGAATGACATGGTTCTAAAATTTCGCAGCTGTCAGGCGTTTGACCATAATTCCAGGCACCATCAGGTTCCCCTGCTGCGATTCACGTAATCAGAACATACTAAGCGTGTATTGAACTTTTGGCCAACACACAAACACTGCGTGATTTGCGCCCCATACTCCTGCGTATCTGGTCAAGGACAAAGGGAACCCACTTGACTGTCTTTGGGGACAGCGAAAATCTAAAAAAGGATTTTCAGTTTTTCCTCTGACCAGCGTCAGTTGAACGTCGCTGGGCAACTCGTCCCCCTGAGACGAAGTAGACAGCAAAGTCTGTCGACTAGAGATGAAAGGACTGCTATGAAACTGAATCAACCCAACGAAACGCCTGTACGAAATGCTGTGGACCATCGAATACTTGTGAAAGAAAAGGAATCCAGGAAAATTGTCTGCCGGCCAAAATATTGTTTTAGCATCAGAACTCTCGCTTCGGCGAATCAGAACTTTGTGTGAAAATATCAACTCGACTGAAAGATAAGTTGATTCTTTTTTGTTTTTATATATGTATGTATTCGCTCGCGCCTTCTATTCTTTAATGATCCCCTTCCCCTTTGTTAAATGAATGTTCTTTTTTTTATTTTTTTATTTCTTTATATATATTTATAAATAAATGTTTTATTTTGAAATCCATCATCTTGTGTCTGTCTTTGTTGATTCCCTTGTGTCGCTTCCATTTCTGTGTGAAGACCATAAAAAGATCCCACGTTTTCCTTTTTCTTTTTAAACCCGTGGTTCATCTATATGCTACAAGTTCGTAACAATATATATATATATATATATATATATATATATATATATATATGGATATACACTTCGATCCTTGAGTAACTCCTTCAAAGATGAAGGTGCATGTCTTGGAAGAATGTATTTATAAAAGAGAGAATGTATCATTGAGATAAAAAAAAGGTTCTTCATTACATAACATCAAGAAATTTTCGAATATGTTAATGTCTTCAAGTTTACATTTGCACGGATAGCGTTATTTTTTTCTCTACAATATTTCCTCTCTATACATTAATACGGATTATACGCAATACGTTAACCTTTGATGAAGCTCCTCGAGGAAGGAATCACGTTGGAAAAACAATTTTTCCTCTTAACATTTTTCTCTATTAATATTTTATTCCATTAACACACACACACACACACACATATATATATATATATATATATATATATATATATATATATATATATATATATATATTATATATATTATACAATATGGTGAGCCTTATGGAATTTCCAAGAGGATATAAATCCAGGGAGAGCGCTATAAAAAAAAGACAGAGTAAAACGATTGTGAGCTGCCGAATGTATAATTTTCAAAGTTGACCTCTCGGCATAGATTGAACCTCCATGTTTTCCATGTTTCTTTCCTCAGGGAAAGTGCTCTTCCGATACACCTTACATACCCCAGGAGTTTGGTTTGCTTGTGAAAATATAGTAATCGTCACGTTTTATATCAGTTATTTATATTTAGTTGGATTGATGTGAGTTTGTGACCCTGGCTTTCACGCTATTTGCGATCGTCAGACAAACGAGTTTGTCTGACGATCCCAATATATATATGTGTGTGTGTGTGTGTATTAAAAAGAGCACAAAGTAAGTAATCACTAATGGAGTAATCGCAAAAAGGCGAGCAGTGACTGGCTACTCAAGCGACAGAATCTCGACTGAGTGCGTGTAAGCACATGGGACTTGTAGTTGCAGTTCAATGTTCGCTAAAAATTACGTTATACGTGTGTGTATGTTGACTTACCTCGAGGTGTTGCAATGCCGTATCCTTTAGAATCCAGCAAGCCCCCAACTTGCATCAGGTCACAGTGACGTTGAACCTGGTAATCAATCGATGTGGACTCTCCCAAGTACGCGTAACTCCCTAACAGCACACGTGCCACTGCTTCTTTCGTTGAAGAAACATACACGGACGGTGTCGTACTCGTCATAAAGTTTGCCATTTGCTTATATATCGGAACATCAGAATCCTGTCGAATAAAAAACAACAATAATTAGATATTAACATATACTTGAATTACTGCATCAAATCAACGTGTGGATATATACAGTGTGCGATGGATAAATTGTCTGAATTATGCAAAAATGAAAAACTGACATCACATTTCAACAGATATATTTACTAAAATTGCATAAAAAAATTTACAAATGGAGGTTGCAATGGGTAAATTGTCGCTGTTTTATATATTTAGTTTCGCCTTGTTTGTTTTCCATTTTGTCGACTTGCAATGGGTGGTAGTGTATTTTGTGCACCGTCTGTGACAAAAAGAGCAGGATGACGCAATTCCTTCCGCCAGAAGTGAGGAAATGGCATGCTGAACATTTGGCATGGATATAAGCATAAAAGTATCTTTAGGATTTCAATATGGCGTTTGTTGAATACATGCTTTCGACATGAAAACAAGCCATCCAGCAAAACGACTTTGAAATTCTTCTAGATTCTAAAATGTCCAGCTTATGTTCAGAATTGACTGCAATATTCCATAGTTTTAGTCTAAAATTACTATTGTATCAGTAAAGTTTAGGAAAATGATTTAATCACAGCTTAGTGGCATATAATAATCCGAACATTTTATAGTGTCGTTAGCAATGTCTTGTTTCATTGATTTATTAATTAATCATATCATTAATATATCGAGAAACATGAGATTATGTAAGAACAATATTATACCAGAATTAATATTACTTTTCTTCAGAAATAGAATCATCATATCAATTTCGTTGCACATTTCGTTTTTTTTAAACGTCATCTATATCGAGAAATTTGAGAAAAGCCATTGTCATTCTAAGTTTTTTTTGTGAAACTAACATTTAGTTCAATGCATAATATATAAATATTATTTACAGTATATGGAATCCCATTAAAATATAGTGATTTATATATATGTTTCATAAATGTCATTATCACCCTAACTTTTATTAGTGCAATTCAAGTTCTTTTTTAACGTTACGAGGACATTTCGATTGAGTTATTCTTCAGCCTTTTTTAATTGTATAATTCGTAATAGAAAAGTATGTTCTTTTTCTACAGAAAAAAGTAATATATATGAAATTTTGTCTATTATAGCAATAACCTTTCATTCCAAAACCAAAATACTTGCACAAGTATTCGTGTCACTGTTATCAAAATAGTAATATTTTCTGAAGCGGGAAATAATGAATCAGACTCCAGGAAAGAAAACAAATTTAAAACAAGTAACTGGAAATCATGTTTAAAATGTCGTATGATAATCCGATAAGTAATTATAATTTTATCGAATTCATATATATGCCACTAAGTTTGAAAAACTATGTATAATCCAAAATTAATATTAAAAGGATATACAAAAATCACTGCCAAAACTGAGTCAATTCGCTAGACAATTTTTCTCTATGGAATCTATCTTAAATCATTTTTAAGTCTGCCATTTGTCAATGCTATGGATAGTTCTGCTACATATGGTCCATTGCTCTTGTTCTATATTTAGAGATTGTTAAAAACTCCAAAGAAGAATAGTCAATATTATTAGTGTTGACCTGGTGACTCGGCTTCAGTCATTTTCTTACCGCCTTAATGTAGCGTCCATTTGCCTATTCTATGAATAATTCCATTGCAATTGTCAGCCTGGCATCTGCGCTCTGCTACCTAGACTATATGAATTTAAGTACAATCCTAGATTGGCGGCAAGGTCTCATCTATTAACAGTTGAATTGGTTAGATATAAATTTAAGTTCGATGATGACAGTTTTTTCTCGCTTGCGGAAATCTCTTCCGGCTCCATGCTGCTCAGCCATTTTACAATTAAACAGTTCCTAGAAGTCATTATTATATAAAACAGTCAACACCCCCACAAAAGAGAATATATTGAAGTGTGTATAAATATTTAATATGTCTAAATAATAATAATAGTAAAAGTAATGAAATAATAGTGAACAAAAATAACAGTAATTACATTTAGAAATAATAATAATAATAACAACAGCAACGTATATGATACAGGCCCTCTTCTTCCGTTTGACTCGTTTCCAGACGCCAATTCCTTGGAATATAGTCAATTCTAGCTTGGAAAAATATGTTAAGACTTAGCCAGTACAACATTTTTTAATCAGACTGAAGACAACCAATCCTTGATAATGACTTAGACGGTCGAAAAAATGTCAACAGAAAAAAAAAAAAAACAGAACCTGAAAATTGATAATAATATTGAGACATTTAATCCCTATAAATAACATTCTATTCGAAAATAGGATTAGATATATAAAAGAAAAATAAACGTAATCAAGTTCGATGATGCTGAATTAAAGATCAGAACGTGAAACGATAAATAATAGAATATTATATATATATATATATATATATATATATATATATATATATATATATATAGTCATCCACATACAAAAGTCATCAACGTTTCACTGTGTCACAGTTCATCAGTGCAGTTAGACATACCAATTGGCATCAGTCGGGTTTCTACTCTGCGCTATCGAGAACGGCAGTGAAAAGGCAATTTCTAGGGTATCATTTTGACAAATGTAAACAAAACGCCAATGGACGCCAACATAACATATATATATATATATATATATATATATATATATATTATTCGCTATTTTCTTCTCCTTTTACTGTAATAGAAATCAGATTTAGCTACATTACCTTCTTCCAGTATTAAATGTTATAGCACGTCAGTGAAAATGACGGTTCTGTGTAGAATCCCGGCTGGATTTCAGTCGGAGGACACAAAATTTCTACGAGATTTCTCGGGCAGTCAGACCGATATATGTAGTTAATATTGTTTATTAAAACAGGTCAGCTTTGCTTATATATATATATATATATATACAAAATATGAAATTATATATGTATATATATATGTGTGTGTGTGTGTGTGTGTATATAGAAGTCTAAACAAAATATATTATATATATATACTTCTAACTAATATATATATATATATATATATATATATATATATATATATATATATATATATATATATATATACGCACACAGAGGTAGAGAGAGAAAGAATATGTGAATATATTATTTCAATGTGTTTCTTTTTGTAAACATTTTATAACAGTTTTTAAAACGAAAAAGTAATGCCGATAAACACAAAACATTTTATATTCACGTTCGCCGTATTTAAGACATTTTTATTGGAAAATCAGATGCGACCTTTTATTTCAATATTTAACGACGCATGCGCAGATAGTATCTTGTTGACTTAAACTTTGGTGCTGAAATATACCAAGCAAGTTGTGACATTTTTCATGACATCAGCCATTTTGTGTGAAATAAAAACAGGAGAGAAATAAAGTTGGTAAATGAACCATAAAATCTGAATTGCTATAAAGAAAAACTTCCATAAATCAATCTGCAATGCCTCTTCAACGATATGGCACGGTAATTTCTTTCTTTCTTTCGTTTCACACAAGGCCGTAAATGAGAAAATAAACGCATTCCTTGTTGATTGCTTATTGGCTAATAAAACTGACGGCGCTTATAGGCACAAACGATTTTTGGCTGAGAGATATTGCGCCATTTCACTTTCGAGATGCGACGTGCTTATGGCAATAGATATGTGAGACAAAGAGAACAATAGTTAATGGAAAACAAATAAAATATGATGAGACTTGAGAATGTAAATAATACATAATTATTTTCCTGATAAATGGTAATCGGTGATCACGTAAAAAATAATATCTCAGCATCAGTGTTAATGTCTACTTTCCATCTATAAAATGTTTACTCAGTTAAGTATCGTCTGTTTCCATGATATTATGATGGTACTGTTAATAACGTCATGAAAATATTCTTTGAAAAAGTGAGACGCGTTTAATTTGACATACGTCTATCTCGGATTGGAAATGAGAGCTTATATTAAGAGGGTTAATTTTAGGACGGTATAGTCGTAAAGTGATAGTAGTCTACTAACGTGTGAACCATTGTTAGTGTTACAAAACAGATACATCTTCTCTCCCACAATAATTCCTGCATTAATGTATGAAATGCTTATGCAATTTTAACAACTTTTAATACATACATCTTAAAAACCATTATAGAATTTTGGAAGAAAATGGCAATAATACAATTATATATATATATATATATATATATATATATATATATATATATATATATATATATATATATATATATATATATATATATATATATTGATTTAAAATATGGTTTTTCGCTACACAGTTCTAACCATGTTTCAAAAATGGAAGCTAAAAAAGTTTCAAATTTAATTTTGTAAGTAAATTAAAGCTCAATTTTTGAAACATGGTTTCAAAATGTGTACGAAAAAAATAAATTTTAAATCAATCAATTTGTATTAATGCTCTGTAATTTACATTGAGCACTATTTTGTAAAAATAAAAATATCTATAAGAACACAGGATTATATATCTTACTGCTCTTTCTTTTATATATATATATATATATATATATATATATATATATATATATATACACACACAATATATAAATATGTATATAAGCATACACACACACACACACACACACACATATATATATATATATATATATATATATATATATATTATGAAATGGACAAAGTCTATGTATATACTTCCATTTATAGATAAAAATATTTAAGTAAATGCTTTGTTTATAATAAACAGTCTCAACGACATTAATCAGCCTGAATGTCCGAGAATTTTTCATAGAAAATATGCGTCCTCCGACAGGAATTGAAGCTGTATCCTATAAGGAACCGTCATATAGCCTGACGTGCTTCTACCGATTGAGCCACAGAGGTCGATTTTACTATTTTTAAACTACAATTCTCCATGATTTTCTCTCATTCATTCATGTCTGCTCGATGCGTATCCAAAAAATAAACAAATGACGTCAAACATTTTGAAATGCGCAATGTCCGACAATTATTTTTAAGACATTTTTTTTAATGTTTTTTATCTATAAAAAGAACATATAAACCGAGAAATTATCTTTAAA